TAAGGTTGTACTCTTTTTGTGTAGTTTTCTTTTCATAATAAAATTCTTCATGAGTAAAGAAATGCTTTTCAACATGTACAGTTTCATGATCATTGTAAAATTACAGTTCTTTGAGTCTGAAAAAGTTTGTGCCTGTAGAGCTTTTGGTTGCTGGCTGTCCTGGGTAAACCAGTACACACTGGTGGAAAGGGAGAGATGACTTATGAAGATTTCCAGAAGTGGCTGAAGGAAGTTTTCCTGGCCATAGCAAAGCACTACACTGAAAATGAGAGAACAACCAATTTAAATGAAACCAGTAAGTTCTAAAAGGTTTAGAAAACTTCAGGTTGATGCTGAGGTTGAGACTTAGGTTTCCTGTCTGTTGACAATTTATGAATGCTTTTGCTTCTCCCTAGATGTTGGGCATAACTGTTTCTGTCAACTTCCCTGCGGCCCGGAGCAGAATCTGCAGGCCCTTTCCTTTAAAGCCTTTGGAATTTACATAACCCTGCAATTGTAGCAATGCAAAATGTGGCTCTGGTTACAATAACAAGGGTTTAGGGAACGCAGGGAGAGATTGCAGCGGCAAAGGCATAAAAGCAAAACAAAACAAAACCCTACATGCTGTTTTAATTTTCAGCAGCCACGTGAGAACTGTCCTCCAGTTCCTGGCTATAAATAAATCTCTGCCGTCATAGGAAGACAAAAAACAAAACAGTTCACATTCCTCCCAAATTTTCTTAAGGTTATAAAAAATAACGCAAAGGTAAATATTTCAAAAGTAGAGTGTGTCTTTTCTGAGGAATGTCAAATTATTACTCAAGGGGGCTGATATTTGCATCAAGTGAAGAAATTTGGCATTAAACCTCCCTTTCCCTGCTCCATCTCCACCAGCTCTTTTGAGAAAACCACTTAGGACCGCATATGGATAAAGTGCCAGGCAATGCTTCTTAAAGCCCTAGGGGTTCACTGCCCTGGTGTCAGCTGAGGCAGGAACTTTCTGAGATGAATGAGGACTACACAGAAGCATGCATGCCTGTTGCCTCTTGTCAGATGTTACATCCTGGTTCTGTTACATGTTGTGTTGGGAAGACAGGGACTTGGTGCCAGGGTTTGTCCACTTTCCCAGTAACTTGGGGTAGGGACTGTAACTTGCTCTTTTGAAGAGAAGCAGAAGTAATGCGAATGCTCTTCATGCCTTTTTCTCCAGCTTTGAGCTGTCATTTATCAGACACAACTTGGAGAGTCTGGATAGAAGGCTGTGTAAGGTATTAAACATATGGGGTAGAATTGTGAGGAGTTTCATTGCATTGGCTCTCCTACCAGAAAAAAACCTCAAACTCATCACCTGCACGTAAGTGATGAAATAGAGATTATCTAGGTCTACAGCACATCTGCTTTCCAGAAACCATACCAATAGCAAAAGCTGAAAAGGGAAGCTTTCTGGAATATTACTTGTATTCCTGGAACTGCTTTTGGGAGTAGATTTGGCATCTAAAGACAAATTATTTGCTGTAGCAAATGGGAAGGGAATAGTGTCAAGGTTCTATTGGCATTGAAGCAGAAGAAAATGGAATACCAGCTTAATGATTCGATGTGGCAAACCCACCCCCCCCATTCTTAGTTTAAGGTTTTTATGACTGGTCTATGTGGAAAAATGTCGAAGCTAGTGAAGACTACTCAAAGAGGTGCTCTTGAATGAAAAACTAGGTTTAATGAGGACAGAAGATCAAGTCCATAGCAATAGCTTTTGCTGAACTCTTTTCCTTTTTTCTAATCCCAAAAGATAAGCATTGTGAAATAAGTTTATCTTGCAAACTTTTGGGCATCGTTAAGGTTGGAAGCTTCAAAAGGTTATCCACTGTCACTGTTTCTTCTATCATGTGCTGTTTTTATGAAGGCTCAGATACCAGGTTTCCAGAATTGCTGGTATGTGTGAGATTTGGACATTTCAGGGAGTGACCTCTCCAATCAGATCTGCAGTGTTATTTCATCTTTTTTAATGAACAAACCTTGCTGTACCTATTGCCTAACCTGAACTGAGCTGAACAGTATCAGTATCTTCTCCCTCTGCCATCAGGAGGACGGGGTGCTGTGACACTCACAGTGCTGGGAACAACAGAGGCCTCTGACTTCAAGAACAAACAGACAGAAACTGGTGCAAATGTTTTAATCAGAAAGGAAAGCCAAGTCAGAGAAACACAGAAAGCATAGTACAAGAGTACTACTATGTACACAGCAGGTAGCATTTATTTCTGTCTACACAACAAGGCCTACCTGAAGGCAACAAAAAATATTTACTATTGGCCCCATTTGACTCACCAAGAAATTAAGCAAGAGGAAAAACTAGGTTGCAATTTGAAAAGGTTTCCATACTTTTCAGGAGTACAGTCAAAGTGAATGCAGGTGCTGTTGATAAAAGGCACTGTGCAATGCAGTACCATTGTTTACACAACCCCATTTTACTGTACAGTCTTCCCTTTCAATGTCACTTCTAGAATCATAACTTCTCAAATTCACTGCACAATTCAGCTGGGAACAGACAAATAATAACACACTTCCCAAGGCAAACTCTTCTTGCCCTTTCAAAAAATTAGCTCCATGCAATTTTTTTTAGCAGCATCAAAGAGGAGAAGTGGGTAGAGAATCTTGACATCAGTCTCCCTCCTCTTTACATTAAATCTAGCCTCCTCCTACAGAGCTTTGGTCTCAAATGAAATGTCTCATTATGGGTTGAGTAGCTCAAGACAAAAGAAAATTGGTGTATTTTTCCAGATATTTGGATTAATTAGTAGAAATACCAGTGGCTATACCACTGGCTGAAAATGAGGAATGGGTTTTATAGACCTGTGAGACAAAGAAAGTGAGTGACTGAATGAATGAACACAGCTGTAAGGTGCTATAAAGTTTTTATTTCTGTGTGTTTCAGATGACCACATTATTCATAAGTGGTTGAGCCATGAGTGAGTGACTCAGCTTATCCCAGTAAAACAGCCACATGCTTACTTGGTATCATCAAATACTTTTATTTCTGCCATTTTACTTTGTTGATTCCTGTATTTATTCATGTTTGCTGTCATTTTCCCTCTTTTAGAGGACATCAGCTATTGTGGAAACAGGACATCAGCTATTGTGGAAACACTGTCACTAGTCAGGACAGGGTTTAGTTATGTGACCACACACTGACATGGCTAAAATGTTCACAGAAAGCTTTTGAAAAATGTACGAGGATCACTTCATGGCATAGTGAGATGCTGTGGCACTGACAGATGCAGACGTGAATGCAGAATCAAGCAGCCAGTGCTCCATACCATAAATAGTGCTATAGAAATAAGCATGATAAGTAAGGTTATAGTTATTACATGTGGCTAAACAGAGATTTGGTCACATGTTCAAATTCAGATCCAGCTGATCAAAATGAAAAATTGTTACAGTTGTGAGTGCCGTAGGGTATGCTACCTTACATTTAAGACTCGGGGATGAAAAGATATAATGTCATGTGAATAGCATAACTAAGGATAGGTCTTTAGGGAATATAAGGACAGACTGAATCATGAAGTGGTAATGTAGAGAATGAATGGAGATAACCTTTATCAGAGAGACCTAGGGTAACCAGGCTTCATGTGTGGAGATACTCAAAACCTGTCTGGATCTGTCTGGATGGGGCCCCAGGCAACCTGCTCTAGTTGACCCTCCTCACCTCAACTGTTCTGTGCTCTGTGATATTTTAATCTGTTTTTTTTTGGTTTTTTTTTTGTTTTTTTTTTTTGTTTTTTTTTTTTTTTCTCATAAATGAGTCAAAGCAGCTCAAGAACTTACTATTTTGGGCCAAGTATTATTTGGGATGTGTGGTCCCACATCTCTTAAAATAAGTTATGCTAGAGGAAAAATCAGGAATTGTGGTGAAAGATTTGGGGCAGGGAGGGGGGGGGTGGGGAGTGATAGACTTGCTTCCTGTGCTATATATAATTTGAGACTGGGTAGAGGACTTCACTCTAATGTTTCTAATGTGGTGTCTTTCACTAGTATCAAATTCTTACCAAAAAAAAAAGGGGCAAAAAAATAGAGGCCCGAATTTGCCCAGTGTCAATAGAGCTGTGTTAATGTTGTTACTTCTGTGGAAAACGGGGTTAATGAAGGGAAAACAAGGCCTTGTGTTTCTGTTATTCTCCCAAAGAGTACAGTTTCTATGAATAATCTTAAGGCACCCATGGAGGAATTGACAATTTTAATTATGTTTCTCTTAAAGCAGCTTAGTTAAATGCCATGGGAAGCAAACAAGGAAAAGGTCGCTTTAATGGTATTTCCTAAAACGATAGTACAGCAGCATTTGTGGAATGTCCTGGAGCACAATCATTTGGCTTTAATAAAAAATAATGAAAAAAAAAAAAACAGCAACAAGTAAATTAGCTGAATGATAAAAGTAAATAATTCATAACAGATTTCCTCCTAAATCCTGGAAGTCATCTGTCTAGAGCAGCTGATACAAAGAAGCCAGAGCCAATAGTTCAGCTGAAAACCATCTTTGTATTAATCTTTGTGTTAATCACACTCTGCAGAAAAATTAGTTTATTTTTCTCTATCAGTGATCACTTATGATCCCCATACTCAAAGTTAATGTTTAGAGTTACCAATCAACAGCACACATGCAATGTGTTGAAGATATAATGGCACATGTGAGATACTCATATCAGGTTTGATTCAACAGTTAAGTGCACTGTTGAGTGCTTCAGCAAAGAAGCCTTCAAGTGTTTTCTTGCCTTTACATGCCCAAATAGTACCTACTACCTGCATCTTCTCTTTCTTAGCGACAAGCATGTGTTTCATATCGTTCTGGTTTAAGACAAAGTGATTTCATCAAAACACTGAAGACCAGCCCTGTCCTGAAGTTAATGGAGACCATACAGAAACCACTGTACACATTGTAATTTCTTTTGAAAGTGACAAACATTGGAGATATGTTTTATATTGATAGAAAGTTAAAAGGAACTGTTTGTTTGCAATTGTTTTTCCAGAAGACCATCTCTACAGTCAAAACAACTGTACTAAGTCATCTGAAGGTGGGCTCTTCCTACATGGTGAAGACCTGAATTGGACACAGAAACCTACAGAGAGAGAAGAGCATATCAGAAACTACACAGATCTTCCAGGTTAGTTCTGATTTGCATGTGGGGAATGGGAGAGGAACAGAATACCAGGGAACAGGATTTTAGATATCACTTTTGTTCTCTTAAACTTGTGTAATGTTACCTATCCTCACTAGGCAAGAGGAATCTTCCACCTATAGCAAGGTGGTTTTCAACTTTAGAGCAAGGTAACAGCAAACAGGGCTTCACTGTCCCCAGTTACAGACAAATGAGGTGTGTTTAGAAGCAACATATATCCTAATAGCATCAAAATTGTAACCTTCTACCCCATCTGTTCTCTTCATCCCATCACCATTTCAACAGAACAGGATTTGTATCCAGGCTGTGCTACAAGTGTTAGTCACGCTGTTACTCAGTCTGAGGGCTAGCATATTAACTTGGTTTTGATTATAATTAGTCTAAACTGGAGGCATTTCTTGTAAGTTAGTAAACACACTTATTGGAAATGGTGGTTTAGTAATGTTCTTGATTTTATGCTCAGTTTTTCTTCTTTCTCTCTTTATTCTGTCCTTCATTCTTCTAGAGCAGCCACCAATTAGAAGAAAACTGAGTGTCAGTGTCTTCTTCCTTGGTACAATTTAGAATCCTTCAGGGCTTTAGTCTATTAAGATGAGCTCATGCATGAAGCATAATTACACCTAATGTCTCATCATTTTCAGTGTCCTTTCTATTTCTCTTGTAGTGCTTGCTGCAATCACAGAGACAAAATAGCGTGAAACCTTTTCTTCCCATGGTATTTCTATTTTATAGGATCCAAAATGCTGTGAAGTCATATGACCCAGTTCCTTACTGGTACACACTCTGCATCAGTATTTACATGAGTGCAGTCTGAGTGTAAAGTGTGGCTGAGTTAAGATGGTGCATGTTTTACACTGATGTAAATGAGTACATCAGGGCAGTGGTGAAGTGAACCAGTTGTTGGGGCTCAAGCTCAGTCCTACTTCTGCTGAACTGAGCAGTAAGTTTCCTGTAGTTGTCTCCATAGGCACGATCCTTCCCCTCTGTCAATATTCTAAATAGTTCCCACAGCAGTTAGAACCTCACAGACAGTCAATACAAAAAATACAAATGCTCAACTTCAGATTCTGTTATGTGAAACAAAGTATGATGTTTTGCTCACAGCCCAGTTCTCTAGCTCTGTATGAATATGTATACAAGAGGAACACATTTACTCCCCATAATTTTAAAACATTTCCATTTTACATCTTTGAAGTCTTCTGGAAAACTAAGTAGTTCATTCTTGATTAGCTACATCCCTCAAGGTGGCCAGTTTCTTTGGCACGTGCAGTGGTTCAGGAGCAAACAATGATTTCAGGAGCCCAGTCTCTGTGCGTGAACATCTTGCATAGAATCAGGGCCACTACCTAGTTAAATACGTGCTGCTCTCTTGGCATACGCCAAGTCTCCTCCTGGCTTAGACTACCACGATGGAATTAAACCTTGCAGAATCTGGGTGTGTCCCTCTTCATATCCCAGTCCACTGCCTCACAGAGAGAGCAATGTATTTTTTGTCCCCAGAGCAACTCAATCTTTCTGGTAATCACACATGTGCTACTTAGCACCCTAATGGAGCATAGGAGCTCTGCAGTGAACTGAACTGTTACTAATTACAACAAAGATGGCTTACACCTCTCTTCTCCCCTGTCCTCAGTCAAGCAGATTTCCAAGAGAGCAATTCAGCATCCTTTGCTTAGAAGTAAGGAAAGACACCTTTCCGTAGGAACTTTGTCCCATTTCCAGGACTCCTAAGCATACAGGAATTCCTGGAAAGAAAGCCAAGTATTCTCCAGGAAAGTGTATGTCACAAAATAGGACAGATTCTACGTGATGGAAGTTATGCCTAAGAAAAATCAGGGTGGGTTAACAGCGGTGCAATGGCTAAATGTCATTTGCAATTAATTGCAATAATAAGGTCAGTTGCCTCCCTAATTGACTTCAGCTTCTTACTAAGGGATCTGTGCGGCTAATTAGTTTGCGTGTAAACTTCAGAGGACATGAATAATCAGAGTTTAGCAAGCCACACCAACCGTAACTAATCCTTCTAGCTCTTCTGCAAAGAATACACAGTAAGCAAATGTTGTCCCCTGCCCAGCACCACCCTGCTCCAGCTACTTTTTTCCACTGAGATGCTACAGAGCACTCAGAAGCATTCAGAACTGGCAACCTTGAAGTCACTTTCAAAGGAAGTGAGTTTCCTATGTAAAATAGGAGCAGTGTCATAGCCCTCCAGTGTGATAGTCACCTGCACTGTGGGGAAGAGGATATATAGCTGGAGCTCCCTGACATCTAAACAGCTGTTTCAGGATACATGAGTAGACAAGTATCATTTACAAAACCCCAAGGCTGCTCTAAGTTGGCATCGGAGTCTTAACATACCTTGATCAGCTTATAGACCATAGAGTGGCAAGGGCAGTTTAAAAACTGCCACTAATTCTTCACGCTAGTTTTGTGCTAACTGGAAGTCAACCAGAGTAAAAGATCTCACCCGGACTCTGTATCAGAATAAGAAGTGGAAGTAACCTTTCCCTTTTTGGTTTAACTTTTCCTTAATCCTTTGTATAGACATTGCTTTGATTTTTCTGGAAGTCATGGAGTTCTGTGTGCTCATAGGTAGATAGTGACTTTATTTCTGACTACATTAATGCCCTACTCTTGGTTGGAACAAGACATGTTGATCTAGATAATTGCTAAATAAATGATGGTCAATACAACATCAGGCATTTCCCAAACACTTCGTAAACTTAAAAAGCTCACATGCCCCTCCCCACCATGCAGCTAAACAAATCCATGCGCATAATCAGGGGAATAAAAGGAAAAAAAAAACCTCAGACCGTTCAGAGCCCAAACTAGTTTTAAAATTTTTATTAGTGAAAGCCTATGTTGCAGTGCAGCCCAAGGTGGTCTCTGGATTTTTTTTGAAAAAGGCAAAAAAACCTTTGAAATGGAAAATGTTGAGGAATGTTATTATACAGGCTTTTGTTGGAACAGCTGCCTAGGAACAAGCTCACTGCAGCCCTCCTTAATTCAGATATTTTAGTAGATCTAGCCAGCAATATGTGGTTACTAATGTTTGTGATGCAGATCACCTGTCTCCATACTGCACCTTTCTGTAAAGGGACCATTTGATAGAACATAGATTTTCAATCTAAAAAAAAATATTTCCCTGGAAGATGATAAGATATATACAAAATGGAAGGAAGCATTCAAAACTGATGGGGAAAGCAGAGGAACACTCCATTTTACAAATTAGTGCTCTCTATTTTGCTGACTGAAAAGCAGAAAGAAACTGAAAGGATCTGAAGTTCAGCTGAATTGTTTTTTGTCTAAAACTCTGCTCTGTTATCCCTGAGAACGTATCATGAATAGGTTCAAAATGGTCATGAGGTGTTAGATGTAAACACAACCCAAATTTCTTCAAGGCAGGCAAATGAAGCCATGGTGAAGTTGCTGGCTGCAAATGTTTATAGCAGTCAGGGACTGCTAACTACCTTTAATTGCTGGCAGATGATCAATGTTTTAGTAAGGAGAAATTTAATCTAATTCTGGCTGATTCTGTCTCTCTTGCCTTCAGGCATCTGGGTTTGAGTCGGGCTGTTATCTGAAAACAGTTGCACTTCCAAAATGTTTGAGAAATACCAAGCAAAACTGAAGTGAGAAATGAGACAATCCCTGTAAAACTTCCACATTTTTTTCTTACCAGTTGGAGTAATCTCCAACTTTCACTTTCTAAAAGTTTATAAGCCTTTTCTCCTTTCTGAAGAGCAAATTTCTTTTTCCTCTTTCCATAGCCGTTACCTGAGTTGCAGCAAATACTGATGGCTTTTCTTTCAAGCTTGCATGTTCTCTTGTCAGCAAACAGTGTGTGCAGACCACTCACTAAGTCTTAACCAATACAGGAGAGAAGGTTATAATGGGCTTGAAGCCAATGAAAGAGGGTCTGTGAACAGGAAAAACACAAGGAAAAGGGCAAAACTGAATGTGCTATCTCCAGCATGGTCCAAACCAACTTCTTACATCTTACTATGATGGATACAGATTTGAATGTAGTTGTAGTTGACCTAAATTCTGTGGTGTGAGCTGTTTTTACAATATGGAAAACAAATATTTTTATTTAAGAACAATTGGTAGAAGTAGTTTGATAGCTAGTATGTTGATTTAGGGCATTGTCAAGGAACCTTATCTTCACGTTGAAAGTTGTAACTTTAATAAACTGCACAACTATTACAGATCTGATAAGGCTGAGGTTCTAGGAACCAAACCTTTTTTTTTTTTTTTTTTTAAGTGAGAAAATGAGTCCACCAAAAATAAATGTTTGTGCTGTAACAGCAATAAATTCTGTCTCAGTTTCACTTAAACACCTGCGTGCATGCACATGTGTAAATGCATACATGCATACACAGGTATGTACATGCATTATGATTTATAAAATGGAAAAAAATATTGTGATATTAATAGTTTTAATTTTTAATTAATAATGAACATTATTTCAGATGAGCATTGTCCAGATCCCTACTTTTTTAAAGTTCAAAGTAAGTTCTCAAACTGCTGTATTGACACATTAAATATGCGGGTTAGGATTGAAGAGCTTTAATCTGAAACTTTTATATCCATGAATTGGATTGTAGTTCCACCCTTATTAATCTGCAAGTCAGTGGGAGTAGGATTCAGCCCTTAGATCTGATGCAGTTTAAGACCAAAGATAGAAATAGTTTTAGAAAAATAATATTAACTAAAAGAACATAATATGCATTTCTGTATTGTGTTGATCATATATGCCTCATTTCAACCCCTCAGTGACAGGGAACAGAATTTCTTGTGGCCCTTTGATAAGTAACTATAGTGATGGTTCCATCACTGTGTTACATCAGATGTGAGTGTATAGTAGTAGTATTGCTCTCATGTCATGCCCAAGAGCGGCTTGCGCAAAACACTGCGTGGTATTTCAGAGACTGAGAGGTGAGCAGGCACAGTTTCTGCAGGGAGGGTGTGAGAGTCTTGCTAGT